GCTTCTCTGGGCAACCTGGGCCAGGGCCTCCCCACCCTCACAGGGAAGGATTTCTTCCCAATACTCAATGTAACCCTTCAGTGTGAATTCCAAGGTGTTCCCCCAAACTCCCCCTTACCTTTGCCAGTGGCCATGGGAGCAGTGTCCAGCCCTGCCAACATGTCCCGAAGCACGTGGGTTTTGACGGCGTGGCTGGCCCAGAGCTGCTGCAGGTGTGTCACGTTGAAGCCCTGCACCTCTGGGTCGTAGAGCCACTGCAGGTCTGGGAACTCGCAGTCATACAGGACCAGGGGGAACTCGACTGCCATGCTGGGGACAAGGACAGGAGGTGGGCCCACAAAAAGGCTCAAGAACAGTGGATCTGCCACAGCCAGCTCTGCCCTTCACAGAACTCCCTTTCCCAATAAAAGCTGACTTAATTTTCACCAAATACTGAGGACTAAAGCCATTAAAGCTTTGTCTGAGAGCAAGACAACAGAGGTCCTTATGGACACATCCCAGGCTGGCAGCCTACTTCCATGCTGGGAGACTGCTCCACGTGCTGGCAGGGACGTGGCTCACCAGCAGCACTCCGGGTGTAGCCATTGCTCCATCCGGTTTTCCAGAGCAATCCCTACCTGTACTGCGGTTTCCGGGGGTTCTTCTCCACGTCCAGCAGTTCGTCGATGATGTCCGGGCTCTCCATGCCCTGGCCGATGAGGAAGAGCACGGCCATCATGCAGCGGACCTGGTGGTACAGGAACGCCTGCCCCGTCACCTCGAACTGGCACAGCCGGAAGGGATCCCGCGGCCCGGATTCGCCCCCTCTCTCCACCCACGTCACGCGGGCGCTGAGGATCGTCCTCTGGAAGTTGAGCACCCCGTTGGCCACGTCCATCTTGCAGAGGTTGCGGAAGTCGTGGGTGCCCACGTAGCGCTGGGCGGCGCTGTCCATGAGGGCCACGTCCAGCTGGGCGCAGGGGAAGAAGTACCGGTAGGTGCGGCGCTGGCAGCTGAAGCGGGCGCTGAACTCCGGCGCCACGGGGGCCCAGGCCAGCACCCGGATGTCGGGGGGCAGCACCCTGTTCAGGATGTGGGTGTAGCGGAGCTCCTCCCGCTGCCCCTCGCCCGTGTGCCCGTTTTGCTGCTGCCCCTCCGGTGGCAGGCTGGAGCGGAGATCCAGGGAAATCACCTGCAGAGACGAGTAAAAGCCAGGATTAGAGCGCGGATGGACGGGCGCAGCGGCGTGTGGAGCCAAGTCTTCCTACACCTCTGGGAAATAAACCCAGGATCTCCTACGGATGAAGGTGGCTTCAGTTGGGTGATCCTACCATGGAGCTGCGAGTGCCTCTGCTGAGGAGCCGAGCAGATGCCACAGATTCCATTAATAAAACAGGCAAAGTTACAGGCTGCCTACGTAGCACGGTCTCAGAACAGCTTCAACTTTAGTCACTGGTTTGGGTTATAATGTGCTTTTTCTTTTTTTTTTTTTTTTTTTTTGAGCTGGAGGTGATGACTTGAAGGCAGTAACAGCCTGGCTCGCTTGGAAACCTGGTGTGGGAACAAGTTCATTCCCAGTGCGGGTGCCATGTGCTGAAACAGCACAAGAGGAGGCACCAAGTGCCCTGATTTCGTGTGGCTCGTCCTGCCATGGAGAGCAGAGCAGCCACTCGAGGCCAAACCTATGCCAGCTCTGCTTCCTGCACCAGGAGGGAAGGAAGGAGAGCGGCCCAATGGTGAAGCCACCACGGCTGTGTTCTCCCCAATGGCTCAGCCAGCCGGGTGGCTCCGTGCCCACTGAGCAGGCCAGCTCCATCCCCTCCCTCCAGCTCCCACTCCCACGCTCCCTTCCGCTGGCTGCAGCTCCTCTCAGACCCTTCTGTGCAGGAATTCAGCTGCCTGATGCTGCAGGAAGGGAGCCAATTTCTGGGGTTTTTGGATTTTGGTGGGATTGGAGAGTTAAATCAGCTGAGAGGGCCCTGCCAAAGACAGGGCATCGCCCCTTTTTGGGTAGCACTGAGCTACTGGAGAAGCTGCAGCCTAAGCCATGTTTTATCCTCCTAAAGCAGGGCCCCGGAAAAGAACTTGAACTAATATGGGGGACAAAACAGCACTAAAACACTTCAGGGGTCTGAAATAGTCTTTCCACATGCAGGAAAGCCATTGCCAGGCTCACTTCCAGGGGTAAGAGCTGATGGCTTTTAAAGAACAAATCCAAGCTGTGCTGTGGGACAGCAATCCCACTGGATCTCCATCCCACCCTGGAAGACCCACAGGAGATGCTGACCTGCCCAAAGGCACTGACTCCCTTGTCCGTGCGCCCGCAGCGATGGTAGTTGGAGGTCTCTCTGCTGTCCACCAGCCGTGTCTTCTTCAAGGCTTCAAAGAGCTTCTCCTCAATGGTGTTGGGGGTGTTCTCCTGGCTGGCAAAGCCCTGGTAGCCCCAGCCCAGGTAGGCGATGCGCAGTGCCACGTGTCTGCGGCCGTGCGCGCTGAAATCGAAGGGCCTTTGTTGGCGTTTTTTGGCTTTCCCGGGGGCCAGAGCAGCCTCTCTCCTCCCAGTGCCCTCCTTGTCATCCTGGAGCTTCTCCTGCAGCCGCTTCACCTCCGCTTCCAGCTCCTGCACCCTCCTCAGGAGCCCCTCGTGGTCAGCAGCCGTGCTCTCCTCGGACATAGCCACTGCCCTGGAGCATCAGTTTGTTGCTGGTGGATCCTTGGGGTCTGCAGGGAAAGAAAAAAATGGTGGATTTACATTTTTATGTGGTTTTTATTGCACCTCTAGGCTGGCTCTGCAAAATAACCTTTATCCACGGAGTCGGTTTTTATCATCTGAGCCCCACCGTGTTCCCAGCAGAGCATGGGCAGGGCCATGGGGGCTCAGCTCGGGCAACCTTCATCTCACTCCAGTCTCTTTTTTTGGAGCCTTTAATCACTCCTCTTCCCCCAGCCGATGGGATCCGCTCCGTCAGCGCAGCACGTTCCCGGCGAGCCGTCACGGAGCCTTCTCACTTTCACACCTGCATCCCGCTGCAGACAGCGCGCTGACGGCTGCCACTCATCCCGCCCCGCCATCTGCTCCCGCCCTTCCCAGCGCCACCAGGGGCTCCTGCAGCTCTTCCAACCCGCCTAAAGATATCCTAAGCCTGTGCTGGGAGTGGGATCTGTGTCCGGATCCCTTTTTGTCACAGGGCTAGAGGTTTACTCGAGGTTTACTATCACCAGACTCATAAGCAAGCATCTAAACATGCTGTGCTGAGCCTCCTCCTCCTCTGCAGAAGTAGAACACCCTCTCTGATGTCCCTGGATTAAATCATGACTAAATAGTGTGGATTTAGAAGCACAGGTACAAGCAGAAAAACATTAATCTCTCACCCAGTGCACGGAACTTGCCCTGTGTTTGTCAAGCAAGACTTAACTGACCACATAACTAATTCTAGTGGAGTTTTCCAGCAGGAATTAAGGGCTTGTGTTTCTGCTACTCTAGGGAAGAGCCTTCTGCTGGCGGCAGGAGGTTCAGCAGTGCTCTGAGAACATGCCCAACCTAAATCAACACCCCTGAACCCAAACATTTGAGTCTCGGAGCCCCCTTTGACACCTTTAGCCAGCTTGAACATGCTGCAAGACATTAACCCTGGTTTCTTTTTCTGCAGAATCCACCCGGTTTGGTGGGAATCATGGAGGGGACATCGGGCACCTGGCCGGGAGACAGCGAGGAGCTGGGGCGTCCCCGTGACGACCCCTACGCCGATGCCTCCATCGTTTTTGGGGCACAGTCAGACCTTCCAGTGCTTTCTGAGGATCAGAGGGAAAAGAGGAAGTTGGTGATGAAGAGGAAGGTGCTGAGGCACAGACCCGATGGAATGGTGGAGATCTTTGATGAGTCAGTGAACAATGAACCAGGGTGCAGTGCTGAGCCCAAGTGCGGTGCCGAGCTGTGGAATACGGGGCATTCCAGGGTTTATATGGAGGATACCATCTCCGAGGGGGAAATCAGCAGCGAGGACCTGGAGGAGTGCATGCCCTGTGATGATGCGTGGTTCCTTGAGGACAGCCCCTGCTCTCTCCTTGAGGATCTTGGGAGACGGAGCACGTCTCGTCACTCCGCTCGGGTGGGATCGCCTACGTCCTACATTCTTCCGCAGGTTGGCAGACGGAAGAAAACCGACCCAGTGGCCAAATTCCACGGATACAGACAAGACTGGGAGAGATACAGCTTCCCGGGGGAAGATCCACACGATGATCTGCGCTGGGCCATGCGGAGGCAGATGGCCCAGCCGGGAGAGCCGCGCCGGGCACCCAAGCGCCTCGTGCCCAACACGTACGTGGTGCCCACGACCAAGCAGCGCGACGCCCTGCGCTTCGGCGTGCGCCGGGACCTGGCCCAGTGCCTCATGCCCCGCAAGGACGCCTCCTAGAGCCACAGCCCCCTCTCCAGCACCACTGCTTTCCCCTCCTCAACATCCTCCATCACCTGGAAAATCGCCTCGCCACGTTCCAGTTCTGCTGTGGAGGAGGTTTGATTTGCGATGTCTCGGCAGCGTCTTTTCCTTTAATAAAGCATCTGCAAACGCTCCTCATCGTTCTGTGGGTTTGTTAGAAACTCCACAGGCAGCATCTGTTATTCCAGACTTATCCCTGCTCCACCAAACTCTGCTCCCTTGGCCTTATTTTACCTCATTTTTAAAATAAGGGAGCTTTGGGATGGAAGTAAGGTAGTATTAGTGTTATTACTATTATTAGCGTTAATTTTTTTCCCAGGTATAGGGATGGACTGAAAACATGGCAGTTCTGGCGCAGGAAAAAGTCCCCAAAAGCTGAATGGGATGGCTGGAAAAGGGAGCGGGGAGGACAGGACACAGGTGACAGCTGCAGCCTGGAGCTCTCTGTCCAGCTCCCACCAAACCTCCTCTGAATGTGATCCCAGATGGGAAACACACAGACCTGTGTGGTTACCCCACACTGGGGGTGTTCTGGCACCCCAGGGACCTTCCAGGGTTGGGGTCCCTGGCTTTCCAGCACCCTGTGGACCCCCATCCACCTATGAAGGGAGTTTTGTCTCCCAGAACCTTAGAGACTTCCCTCCAAACCCTATGGGGGATAGCACCCTCACCCTACAGGGTCCCTGCTCCTTCAGCACCCCAAGGACCGCCCCATAAAACCCTATGGGGTCTCTGTCTGCAGCAGGGGATCCTCCCTGCTCCATGGTTCCTGTGCCCAAAACCCCAGGGACTCCCCAAAACCCTATGGGGTCCCTGCATCTCCATCACCCTGGGGATACCCCTCCCCTTCTGGTGTCCCTGTCTCCAGCATCCAGTGCAGGGGTCCCTGTCCCCAGCACCCCAGAGAACCCCCCAAAACCCTATGGGATCACTGCATCTCCATCACCCTGGGGCACCCCTCACCTCCTGACCATAGGCTGCTGACCCCTACCTTAGGGGGGGGCTCCCTGTCCTCCAACACCCCAGGAAGCCCCCAAAACCTATGGGGTCCCTGCATCTCTATCTACCTGGGGACAGCCCTCCCCCCTTGGTGTCCCTGTTCCCAGCATTCGGGGAGGGAGTGTGTCCCTGTCCCCAACACCTCAGGGACCCCCAAAAAACCTATGGGGTCCCTGTCTGCAGCGGGGGACCTTCCCTGCACCATCATCCCTGTTCCCAACTCTTCAGGGACTCCCACTATCCTATGGGACAGGCTCTGTCCCCAGGGATCCCCCAAAACAAAATGGGGACCAGGGTTGGCACCCTATGGGGTCCCTATCTGCAACAGGGGACCCTTCCTGTCCTATGATATTGCTGTCCCCAACTCCCCAAGGACCACCCTATAGCAAGGGGGTCCCTATTCCCCAGCACTGCAGGGACCCCTCAAAAATCTATGGGGTCCCTGTCTGCAGCAGGGGACCTTCCCTGCTCCACAATCCCTGTTCCCAGCTCCCCAGGGACCCCCATCCTATAGCGGGAGGTCTCTCTCCCCCGGCACTCCAGGCATCCCCCCAAAACTCTACAGTGTGCCTGTGTGCAACAGCAGGAAACCCTCCTGTCCTTTAAACTCTTCAGGACCCTCCACCCTACAGCGGGTGCTCTCTGTCTCCCAGCACTCCAGGCATCCTCCCAAAACTCTCCGGGGTGCCTGTGTGCAACAGGGGACCCTCCCTGCCCTATGAGGTCGCTGTCCCCAACTCCCCAGGGACCCCCACCCTATAGTGGGGCGGGGTCCCTGTCCCCCAGCACCGCAGGGACACCCCCAAAAAACCTATCAGGTCCCTGCCCTACGGGGCCCCTGCCCACAAATCTCCAGGGACCCGCCACCTTATAGTGAAGGGTCTCTGTCCCCCAGCACTCCAGGCATCCTCCCGAAACTCTATGGGGTCCCTGTCTGCAGCAGGGAACCTTCCCTGTCCCCAGCTCCCCAGGGACCCTCCACGATACAGTGGGGGGGTCTCTGTGCCCCAGCACTCCAGATCTCCCTCCAAAACTCTGCGGGGTCCCAACAGGGGACCCTCCCCGCCCTATGAGGTCGCTGTCCCCAACTCCCCAGGGACCCCCACCCTACGCGGGGGTCTGTGCTCCCTCGTTCCCCCAGTCCCGCCGTTCCCCGTCCCCTTTCCCCATCTCCGTCCCTATCCCCCGTGCCGTCCCCTTTCCCCATCTCCGTCCCTATCCCCCGTGCCGTCCCCGTGCCCCGTCCCCGTTCCCCATCCCCGTGCCGTCCCCATCCCCGTGCCGTCCCCATCCCCGTGCCATACCGTCCCCGTTCCGCACCCGGTGCCGTGCCCGCTCCCCCGGTGCCGGATGTTCCCGCCCCGTCCGGCGCCGCGGGCGCTGTGAGGCGGCTCCATGGCGGAGGCGGGGCGCGGGCTCGGCAGGTTCGGCCCGGCGGGCCCCGGGCCCGGCCTGCCCTGCCCTTGGCCCGCGGCCCCGCTGCGCCGCCCGCCCTCCCGCTTCGCCGGGCTCGCCTGCCCTCAGCTGCACGGCCGGGGCCCGGCCCGCGGGCTCGGCCCCTTCCCCGCGCCCCCCGCGCCGCCGGCGCTCGGGGCCGAGGCGGAGGACGAGGAAAGAGGTGGGTCCCGGAGCCCCCCGCGGAGCACGGACAGATTCCCCCCCTCGCCCGGGGCTGCAGGGGAGAGGGTTCAAATCACAGGCCTTTTGTTATAAACTAAAACAGCAGAAGTTCCTCCTCGGCGCGAGGAAGAACTCCTTTCCGCGGAGGGTGGGACAGGCGGCCCCAGGGAGCTCGTGGATTCTCTCTGGAGACATTCCAGACCCACCCGTGTCACCTGCTCCAGGTGACCCTGCCTGGGCAGGGGGCGTTGGACTGGGTGGTCTCTACGGGCACTGACAGAAAATGGAGCTGCACAGAGTTCGATTTTCAGGACTTGTCCACTGATCCTTTTCGGTGTTCCCCTTTTATTCATGTTCTCTCGTAAACAGCACCTGGTGTTTTTCTTTAGTTAACCAGAATTCCCAGGATCGTCCTAAACCAGTGCCTCAATCCCGCACATTCAGCTCACATCATGTGGTGGCTGGGTTCAGGCACGAGAGAAAAACACATGCGTATCATGCAGTGGTTTTCCACTTTGAGAAACACAACATTCTCTCTTTTGAAGCACTTACCCAAGGTCGATCCTCCCTTTCAACTCCAATTAGCTAAATGCAGGTGCAGAGTGGCTCTGCTTGCTCCCACAATCTCCAGAGGTCCCTCGCAGCCCTAATGATTCTGCCATTCCAGTTGTGTTATTCCACTTGTTACCTTTCCCCAGTGCCGCTGGCGGAGATCTCGCTGATGAACAAGCTGATCCACACGTCCCTGGTGGAGTCCGACCAGCACGTGGAGATCCTGCAGCGGGACCCCAGCTCCCCGCTCTTCTCCGTCAAGACCTTCGAGGAGCTGCCCCTGTGAGTAGCCACAGCCCCTGGCCTTGCTGAACGCCAGTGCCACTGGCCGCCCTCACACGGGCCCTTGGGATGCTTTATTTCCACAGGAAGAGGGAGCTCTTGCGGGGGGTTTACATGATGGGCTTCAACAGACCATCCAAAATCCAGGAGCAGGCTCTGCCGCTCATGCTGGCGTACCCGTGAGTAGGAATGAGAGCCCCGGCTCCGTGTGGCATCCCAGTGCTCTGACCCCTGTGCTCCACTAAGCTGCTTTTGCCTTGCAGGCCCCAAAATCTGATTGCCCAGAGCCAGTCAGGGACAGGGAAAACAGCAGCTTTTGTCTTGGCCATGCTGAGCAGAGCCAATGCCAACGAGAAATACCCGCAGGTAACGCAGGACAGGGAGAGCTGATGCAGGAGGGGTTGACCCAAGTGCCTGGAACACTGCCGAGGCCAGAGCTCTGGGCTTTGTCCCCATCCCTGTGTGGCTTCACCCACTGGAGGGGGATGACAAACCCCCAGGGGCTGTCACAGTGGCAGGTAGGACTGAAGGCACAGTGCCTGCCCCAGGGAGGCACTTAGACTTGCCAGGGCGGATCAATCCAGGCTTCATTTGCCCTGGAATTTAAATTTTGAGGAGCAGCTGTAGACACTGCTGTTTTTCTGGTGGCTCAAATGCCCCCAGTCCCCTCTCTGGGTGCAGAATCAGCTTTGCCTGCTGGTTCCTGCCATGTAACATCTCCTCTCACATGCATGGGATGACTGAACCAGGGCGCAGGAATGAGCTGCACTGTGCTTCCAGAGGGGAATTTCCTCCTCAGAAACAGCAACAGTGGCTTCTTTCTGCCCCCATGGCTGGAGCTGGGAACACAGCCCAGCTCCCAGACCTCCAGCCATGCCTGGCTGCCCGATCACCTGTGCCTCAGTGCTGTGCAATGCTGCTGTGCTCCTCTTGCTGTCCCTGCCCTCGTTGCCAGCCCAGCGTGTCCCATCCCGGGCATGACAGCTCCCTCCTCTCCTCTCCTCTCCCACCAGTGCCTTTGCCTGGCTCCCACCTATGAGCTGGCCCTGCAGATTGGGCAGGTGGTCCGGACCATTGGGAAGTTTTGCACTGACATCAAGGTGAACTACGCTGTCCGGGGAAACCGAAGTGAGTCCAGCCCAGCCCAGCTACTGGGACTGCCCCAGGAGTGGGAAGGGAGCACAAGGATCCCCTCTTAGAGCCTGGAGCTACCAGGGACCATCCAGGCCAATAAAGTAGTGTCTGTGTCTCCCTCGCCTGCTGAGGAGGCTTTTCCACCATCTCTGGCTGCTTCCAGACTCCCCCTTCCCACATAGGGCTGGTTCCCACCCCAAAGGCTGCAGGGAAGTGTTGTGATGACCCCTGGAAGGCATCACTGAGCAGCCAGAGTCTGACTGACCCCAGGGGAGCAGCAGAGAGCTCCGTGCCTGGAGGCAGCCAGGTGCATTTTTCCCTCTCGCAGTTCCGAAGGGCACGGTCCTGGAGGAGCAGATCATCATCGGGACGCCGGGCACCACGCTGGACTGGTGCTTCAAGCAGCGCATCCTGGACCTGACGAAGATCTCCTTGTTCGTGCTGGATGAGGCCGACATCATGATCGACACGCAGGGCCTCTCCTGCCAGAGCATCCGCATCCACCGGTGAGTATCCCTGACAGCTCACATCCCGCTTCCCTGCTTT